CACAGGGAGGGTGCTGGGAACTGAGCGTGGAGTCAAGCAGCCAGGCTTGGTAGAACCAGACATGTGGGCCTTGGGGGGACCTTGGTTTTTCGCTGGCTTTCAGCGTGCTGTTGGGGTCCCAGCTCAGTGGGACTGGTAGGACACATAGACCACTTTATCTTTCTCCCTGAGTTATTCCTTTCTTCCTTTCCCCCTTTTTGTAAATAACCCCTTTCTTACCCTTTTTGTGTGTGCCAGCAGTTGAGTCTCATTATAAGTCCCTTTCCAGGGCCTCCCCGATGGCACAGCAGTTGAGCGCTGGGTTGCGAAGCTGCCCACAGTCTCTGCAGTGCCGGTTCGATCCCCGGCTGCTCCCCGGCCACCAGAGGAGGGTCCCGCATGGCGCGCAGACCTCTCCTGCCGCCCGCTGCTCCCCTCAGCAGTGTACTTCCGTCCTTCTACCTGCTCTGCTCCCCGCTCTGGCTCTGGTGAATTCTCTCACCCTCCCGCGCTTCTGACTGTACCCAGTGCTTGTATAAATAAATAAAATAAATAAAAATAAATCTTAAAAAAAAAAATAAGTCCCTTTCCAGTGTGCAGTCATTTCACACTGGGGTTGCCTGTAGCAATAGGAGCAAACTTCAAGTCCAGATCAAGATACAAGCTGCCATTGTCAGCCCCCCACGTCTCTCTCACCCCATGTCTCTCCCAAGTGTCTCCACATGTTTCAATGACACGTCTCCTCCGTGTCCCCCAAGTCCCTGGTGCAAGTCCAAAGCTGAGAAGCCAGACACATCTCTCCGCTTGCGTCTCTCTCCAAGTGTCCTCAAGTCTCCTGTGTCTTCGCCTTGCCCCTCAGCAAGGTGGGACAGGGAACATGACACCTCCCTCTTTTATGGAGATTCCTCTCTGTAACAGTGGCTTCTACTTCTGGAACTCTCCCAACACACACCCAGCTTTCTTACTGATTTGGTAACTATATAAAACTAGACCTGCTGTTTTTGGCTGTTACTATGTAATTATAGTGCCTTTAGCCTCTTCCACTGAACAATGAGCCTCTCTGTGTCAACACTGTATTTTACTACTTTTCACATCTCTGCTTAAGAGGACACGCTGTATGATTCAATGCTCAAAGCCATTGGTTGAGAATAATGATGCAACGGTGTGTCATCTTTGAGTTAAACCTATTAGGAAAAAAAAAATAAACTTGAAGAAACTAGTCCTTGCCTGGTCTCAATGAATAATTCCCTGAAAGCATTTTAGATGTGGAGGGAGGGGGATTGGTGGTTTAGCTTGTATTATAACTGCAGCTGCAGTCATTGGGGTGGAAAGGCTAGCTTTTAAAGTTTTATTCTAAAGGAAACACAGTGACAGTCCCTCAGGCTCTGCGTAGGGTTTTGAGTCTTAGAACACAGCCGGCTCATTGCCATGGGAGTGTGTCGTCACATAAACTAGACGGGTGGAGAATGGAAGGGGTGGGAGAGCTCCAAGGGGTGGCGGCACATGCAGGGACGGGGAAGTCTCGCTGAGCAGGAATAAGGGATCCAGCCAGTTATGGCTTCATCAGCAATGAAGGGGGTGCTACAGCAGATGACTGGGGCTTTAGGCAGAATGTGGGGTGGGGAGCAAGACCAAATAATGGAGAACACAGCCCATTAACTGAGTGAAACCTGGCAACAGAATCCCAGGAGAGGTTGTTGTTGGGTGGCCCAGGGGGACGGGAAGGCTGGCACCAGGGCACACCCTGCCAGCAGGACCACCCTTAGCCTAGGACTCAGGGTGGGTTTCAACTCCTGCGAGGGCTGCTGGCAGGACAGGGCCATATGTTTTGAGTCATAGGTTCGGTTCAAGTCTCAGGCATGGGGAATAAGATAGAGTTCTGGGGGGAGGTATGGAGCAATTTTGGTCGTAATAATGAGATAAAAGCCCCAGATACTCCAAGCCCAAGTTAAGAGTTGCCTCCCGAATATGTGAGTAATGGTGGCTCTGAATTGAGAGAGAAAGGACGTGGAGCTTGGCGATGCTGTGTGCCCGTGGTGTAGGAAGCAAGGGCCAGAGAAGAGCCCTGAGGTCAGTCTCCAGTCACTGTATTCCCCAAGACCAGGGATCCAGGGCTTGTTCCCACTTGTCAGGGTCTCCCTGGCATCTTCATTGGGTCCCCTCAGTTTCCATATTGGTGCCCTGAAGACATTCCAGGGGTGTGTGCAGGGTGTGTCATTAAGAAGGAGGCATTTATGAGAGCAGACGTGAATGTATCTGTTTATCATGGAGACATTCCATGTAAGCTTTTGATTAAAAAAATTTGCAGTTAAAACAAAGCTTGATGATGACAATTATCATTTCTGGTTGTCTCTGGAGAACTGGAAATTAGGGGAAATACGTATCTGGAGTTCAGTAGCAGATAATGGCACAATAGTCCATCAGAATAGGGAAAATTCTTCACAAAGGCTGACAACACAATACGCAGGGGAAAAATTTCTGCCTTCAGCAAAAGATTTCGCAAAGAGCTATGGCATTTTAGATTCTTAGGACATTGTAGTAGCTGCATCTCCATATGCCTTTAGGACATCGGTATATAATTATTGTGCCTCTTCAGAGTCCATTTTATATGTTTTGGAACTCTGTGGTCTCTTGTGGCCTCCTTTGTCTCCGTTCCTCGCTGCTTCTCTCCCACATCTCTGTCTCCCCTACTTGTCCACACTGACATGACTGGCAGGTCAGTTACATGACATCACACTCAGACGACCATCTCTGAGAATACTGGGGTCCGATTTTTAAAGAGACAAATGCTGGCGGACTCAGCACAGGCTACTGAATTTTTCCCAAGTCAGATTACTCAGCAGTTAGATTGGGGAGGGCAGTGCCTAAAGAAAATTTAATGGCCAGCTACTCCCAGGTCCACAGGAAACACTTGCCTGAGTTGATAAAACCAAGGAGAGTCAAGAGACTCTCCAGAGGGGAGAAAGGCAGCCCTCCACCACAATCTCCAGGCAGGATGATAAAGCCCAAGGAGAGCAATAAGCAGCAAAGGGAGACAGGCAGACCTCTGCCCCAACCTTGCGAGAGCTGATAAAACCACCTCAGGGAGCACAGGATGGGGATGACTTAAAAACTGCTGCCCAGATCAATAAGCCAACACCCTGGGAGCACTTGCGCGATATACTGCAGCAAGGGATGGAGTGAGCAGCCTCCCGCACACCATATACCCTGGATCCTCCCACCTCTCCCTGCAGCTGTTTTCCCTGGACTCCACTTGCCTGGGACCTCTCCGTGGGTGAACTTTCCTGCTGTCTCTAAATAAACTTTGCCTTTGCTTCTGCTAAGACATATAGCTTTGAATTCTTGCATGGCCATTGTCAAGGACTGAGGAGTTCCAAAACTCAGGAATATCCAGGAACCCCAAAATCTACAAACAAGATGTCTACCCCACGTACAATCAGTTTTGACAGGGGGGAGGGAATACTATAGGACTTGAGATGTTAAGACTCCAAACCTATGAGACTCAAAAGTCTCTCTATAGTAGACTTTCACAGAGGCAACACCGATACTGTAGTTTGCAGGTTCTGATACCAAGCCAAGGAGTCTGCTGCCTGATGTGCAGAAGGCCAATATTATGACACCAACATTTTGAGAGAAGAAAGGGTTTATTGGCAGTTAGCTGTCAAGAAGACAGGAGCCCAAAACTCAAATCTGTCTTTCTACCTAGGAAAGGGGAGGGATTTGTATTTTGGGAAGCAGGCCTGAGAACACAAAAGTAAAATATTGTAGGATAAGAAGTGAATTTAGCTGACGTCTACTGGATAGTTACAAACTGCCATATTTGGGGCCAGCTCCTTTTTAGATGACTGGACCTTCTTGGTGGACAGACTCCTTTGCTTCTGAATGTGGTCCTCTTTCCTGGCTTCTTGGTTCTGCGTCAGCAGTTGCATGCAGGATGTATGACTCATAGCTGAGCATCATGTGCTGTTGTTTTTGTGAAGACAAGATAGTTAAAAGATGGTGGTCTCCCCGGTGGCGCAGTGGTTGAGTGCTGGGTGGCGAAGCTGCCTGCAGCTCTGCGACGCTGGTTCGATCCCTGGCTGCTCCCCGGCCACCGGAGGAGGGTCCCACATGGCGCGCAGACCTCTCCTGCCGCCCGCTGCTCCCCTCAGCAGTGTACTTCAGTCCTTCTGCCTGCTCTGCTCCCCGCTCTGGCTCTGGTGAATTCTCTCACCCTCCCGTGCTTCTGACTGTACCCAGTGCTTGTATAAATAAATAAATAAATAAATCCTTTTTAAAAAAAAAGATAGTTAACCACACCCAAATATTCCTTTTGATGGGAGTTGCCATGGTTCCAGTCCCCCAGGCTGCTGCACAGGTTGCCACTGCTATGCACACTTGAGATTTTATGTGCCTTACCATTTCAGTGATCACAGTTCCTCCTTCAGCAAATCCTGAGAGTTTTTTGAGCATCTTTTGGATTTTTATGGAGACTTCATTGTGTAGGCATGATCAATTAAATCATCAGCCTTGGTCATTGATAGAGCAATCAGTTTTTCTCCCCTCTCTGGACTTGATGGGTGGTGGGGAGGGGTGGCGGAGGGTATGGGACTCAAAGTTCCAACCCTTTAATCACACGGGTGGACCAAGAGATCAGTCTCTGCCTCTGGATAACCTAGGGACATTCAAAAAATCACCTCATTGGCATAAAAAAAGATGTTTGTTACTGTCCACTGGGAAATTTCAAAGGTTTTAGGAGCTCTATGCCAGAAATGGGATGAAGACCAAACGTGTATATATGTATATAATACGTATATTTCTTGAATGTTGTAATAGTACAATGCCCTGCCCTGAAATGAAGAGAAGACTCCAGATGATTTCTCCATCTTTGATCCACGCCAATACTATCTAAGGTTGTGATGTTTCATACAGCAAAGAAGGGTGCTATCTATTTCCTGAGACTCTACACAGGCCAGAGAGCTAGAAAATCCCATATGAAGTTTTAACACAAATTCATTCTTTATTGTTCTTTTCTCCTGCAGGAGTCAAGATCCCCTGAAGACCATGAATTTGTCTTCTGAGCCCTGTAACATAACAGATTGGCTGAGACTAGAAGCAACAGTGAAGGCCTCTGTGTACATGGTCACTTTCTCTTTTGCCACAATCATCACTGCCATCATTATTGCAATAGTGTCACAAAATTCGAAACTGAAGCAAGAGGTCCGGTACATCCTCCTCTGCCATCATCTGCTGTGCATTTCCTCCTACTGTGGCCTAGGGGTGGTTTATCAGGGGATGAGGGCCCTGTTGGCAAACGTCCCTGTGCTGATGTGCTGGGTGGTGTTTGGGGTACAGCTATGTGTTGGTGAAGGGATCCTCTTCACTCTGACCCTAATGGTGGTCAACACCTACCTGGTGATTTGCTGGCCATTGAAATCTCTGTCCTGTGTAGATTTACTGAAGTATAGGATTCTGGTGGGCACTTGGGTGCTCATTATATTTAAGAATGTTTGCTTATTCCTCATAGAAGGCACTAGCTTCACTCAAGTTGCTATTTTAAAATCTCAACCTCTTTGCCCAGTGATCTTAAATGGGATTCCTGCCAGAGCCATTGGCCTGGTTTTCCTTTTCCTTCCTTTGTCTATCATTCTTGTTAGTTACTATCTCATATACCAAGAAGGGAAACGGTCTGGCCATTTTAGTAGGTCAAATATCAAAGCAAGAAAAACAGTCCTTATTCACTTAGTGCAGATGGGCTTACATGTAATACCAACCCTGATATTCATAGGTTTGGGAAAGATGTGTGGCGTGTTTTACTTTGTTTTAAATCTGGTGCTTTTTGGAGTCTTTGCATTTGCCCAGTGCTTCAACCCTCTGGTCTATGGACTTTGGAATCGAGAGTTGCAAAGCAGGATCTCTCACTGGCTGGACTGTCAGCTGTCGTGTGGGCACACAATCAACAGCAGAGGACCCGTTTAAGTAAAACTGCCACTTTGAATCAATAATTAGTGCTGATAAACCATCCGCCAGCTAGGGTTGGGGATTTGCCTTTTAATTAGAGCCTCGATTTGACTTTGAAAGTAATATGAGCAAATCAAAGTTATCACTTCACCACTGTGTATGTGGTGTATACATACAATGGAATATTATTCCACCTTCAAAAAGATTTTTATCACATGCTACAATGTGAATACTGTGAATCACATGCTACAATGTGAATACTATGAATACTGTCCTTGAGGACAGTATGCTAAGTGAAACAGGCCCGTGACAAAAGACAAATACTGTCTGATTCCACTTCTATAAAATATCTACAGTAGTCAAATCCATGGACTCAGAAAATAGAATGGCAGTTACCAGGGGCTGAGGAGAGGTGGAATTGGGAGTAGTTTAATGGTTATATGGTTTCAGATGAACTTTTTCTTCAGATGAGATAGTTCTGGAGACCTGTTTCCAGCAATGAAAATATACTTAACACTACACTTAAAATGCTTAAGATGGCTGATTTTATGTCATATGTTTTTCTTAAACTACAACTTAAATAAGACAGAGTGATATATAAATTTATGGGATCCAAGAACTCACCCAAGTTTTCATCTAACGGAAGGTAAAAGTTGAGTCCACAAATAGGATTTGAATGGGCCCCAGGAAAAGAATCAAGTTGTTTCTTGCTCACATTCTAGCATGTTAATGTCCTGCTCTCTCGGTGCAATGGTTACCAGTCAGCTATAAACAAGGCTGGTGTTCAGTAAAGATTTATTAAAGGTTAATTTTAAGGGGAAATTCCATTTTTGGTGATGACATATTGATAGACACATAATCTAAGGGTAATTATTATAGATATATATATGTTTACACAAACATATTATATATATCAATATACATACATATCAATACAATATACCAACACATTATATACCTATATGCACATACACATGTACATTGTATACATAGGTATGTTTAGACAGAGACTGAGAGAACAGAGAAATTTACATTTCTCTACCTACCTATACATAAACAGTTATAGGACTTTCTTAGCCAATCGAATCTGTTGTATTTCTATGAGTAAGATCAGTTTGACCATAGTTGTGTTCATTATGCTATCGTTTATGTTGCACTAAACATTTTTTTTGTAATTCAGAAAAATTGCTCAATCACTTGTGCCCTAGGCTGTGTTGTCTTCCCCCCAAATCATGTGTTGAAACTTAAGCCTCAGTGAGATGGTTTTAGGAGATAGGGCCTTTACGAGAAGAGTTCGTGAGGATAGATCACTGCAACAGGTGAGCAGGTCCAGCAGAGAACACGAGACCTACAGAGCCAAAATTATTTGCCATCTGGCCCCTTGCAGAAAAGTTTACATACACACACACACACACACACACACACACACACACACACACACCCCTCCCGCGGCCTGTAAGATAGTAGTCTCACAAAACTGGAAAGTTGATGACTTAGAATTGCAAATTGATTCAGGAAAAGTAGACATGAATGAATAAATGTAAGGAATACCCCAATTAACTAATTTTTCTTTGCATCTATGTTTTTATGTGACCAAAGATGATTTTTATATTACATCATCTTTAGCCTACAAACCATACGTTTAAAAGTTTTTTGAATAAGTACACCATGCAACTCCTAAGAAATAAGAAAGCATGGTTTTCATTGCAACTTTCCCGCTTTCCTTACAATCTGTGGTGGGTTAGAAGCAATACAGTATGGTAGCATAACAGATAAATAGTGAGAGAAACAATTCTCTGGAAAAGGCTTTGAAAGGCTAATTGTAATTTGCAGGCTTTCTGAGTCACTTGCTCTTTCTGGAACTTACTCCACCCACGGCAGTTGGCAGAATAATCGCAGATTGGTAACTTCTTACAGGGCCTTAGCTATCTAGTTAGAGCATCAGGATGGGTGTTCCGGGCAGGGTATTCTCTGGATTTCATTTAGGGTTCTTGGACTGGAGAGCAGCCGGGGGAGTGCCCTGGCAGCTGCAGCCCTGACTCCTGCTGAGAAGTGCTCATTTAGACCCCAAGAGGGGTAACTGTGCTAACATGTCTGTGAGGAGTGCTAATTTGTTTTCTGTCATATCTTCTGTTAGCATTTCTAAGGAATGCAGCCAGTGTGTCCTCCTGTTAGAGAATTCAGATGTTGCTTTTTGGTAAAACAAAGGAAAACAACAGCTCTAAGATGAGATAAGCTGTGCTTTTTTTTTTTTTTTTTAATCTTTACTCACTCTGGCAATGAAATTTTCGCCTGGATGACAGGAAGGAAGCAGGCCATTCATTCTGAATTCCACCTCTGGGTTAAAGGGAGAAGGCCTAGTAAATACTCAGTATCCTGAGAATTGTGCCTTTAAATGGGTGTACAGAGGTATTTGCAGAAGCCTATAAAATACGTTTGTTACTTCGGAAAGTACAAAAAACAAAAATAATCAAGGGGGGAACCTATGGGCCAAGAGGAACCAAAATGTGGGGTCTGACTCTGGGTAAATGTGGGGGGTTCAGATGACTTGATCTTGTATTTTTGTTGGGAGTCAGGTTAATTTACCTACAATAAAACATCCCTCCCTTTAAATGTACATTTGATGGGTTTGACAAATGTATAGAGCCACATGACGTGAATACAATGACGACTACAAGAGTTCCATCCCCCAGGAAGTTTTCTGGCCCTTTGGGAATCAGAGTCCTTCCCCCACAATCTGTGGTTTGTCCCTGTGGTTTCTCCTTCTCTAGGCTGTCATCATAGAAATGAAATTTTACTTTAGCAGCTGTTAGGAACTGAATTCTTCCCTCTCCCCCATACATATATTAAAGTCCTAATCCCCAGTACTTAAGAATAGGGCCGTATTTGGAAATAAGGCCTTTAATGAAATAATTAAGGTTAAATGAGGCCATATGAATGGGCCCTCGTCCATATAACTGGTGTTTTTTATATGAAGAGAGAGAATCAGGGAAGTGTCCACGTGGAGGAGAGGCCATGTGAGGACACAGCCAGCCAGGAAGAGAGCTCTCGCCAGAGACAAACCTTGCCAACACCTTGATTTTGGGCTTGTAGTCGCCAGAAATGTAAGAAAATAAATTCCTGTTGTGGAAGCCAAGAAGCCGGTGGTATTTTCTTATGGCCGCCCAGGTGACTAATACAACAGCTTTTCTGCATCTGGCTTTTTAAAATGAGTATATTTTAATTTGGGGCTCTTCCATGTTGTCGCTTGTATTGATAGTGTAAACATTAATATTTAGAGCCCTGTTTAAACGAGGGCTGGAGCTAGAGCCTCCCCCCACGTGAGTGAGTCAGCAAATGACAGGCCCAGCACGCCTTCCTTTCCCACTGGCTGCCTTCTGGTGCCACTTGGGGGTCCTCCAGAGCATCTAGGTGGGTGTGACACCAGGATTGGGGGTGGCTGTGGCTCCCCCAATCACCACTGTCCATTCTGCCTGCGCTTCTGTTGTTTTGTTTACCAATAAACCCTGATGTCTGAACAGCCAATTGCCTTGTTTGAAGTCAATATCAGTTTTTTAATCTTTTTATGTCCCCTCTCATTTTGTCATGGACTCATGACTGGTATAAATGCTCGGGAACCACTGTTCTTTTTTTTTTTTTTTAAGATTTATTTATACATACAAGAACTGGGGTACAGGCCAGAAGTGGGGGATGGGTGTGAGGATTCACCAGACAGAGTGGGGAGCAGAACAGGCAGATCCACTGAAATCCACTGCTGAGGGGAGCAGCAGGGAGGCAGGAGAGGTCTGCTGTGCCATGCGGTTTCTCCCTGGCCAGGGATCAAACTCGTGCTGCAGTGGCTGCCATAGCTTTATAGCGCTGCGTCTTAACCCCTTGCTCCATGGGGCAGGCCCCAAGGGAACCACGGTTCTAGCTGACAAGTCCCTGCAAAGAATTTTTACCCAAAGAAATGATTTCCCTTAGGTTTTCTAAGCCCTTTAATGCCTGTTTTCATGTTTTTCTCGCCACTGTCCTGGCACTCATTCTCTTCCTCCTCCTCCTTTAATTCAGAAATCTCACTTCCCTTGCTAATGTCTGCCAGTTTTTGTAAGTATTTTGCTTTGTTGAAGTGTCAACTCTGTGAATGTCCAGTTTTGACATTGTCATTCTGACGCACTTTCCACCCATGATTCTCTTGGACGCCCTCCATCCTGCTGTGAATAGCAGCCTTCTTGTTCCTGGTGGCTGAGTGGGTTCCATCGTGTGGACAGGCCTCATCCTCTTGATCCTCTCCTCATCAGTGAACCCTTTCCATGTGCCAGTGCTGCCAAACTCAATAGGTGCTGCCTCAGATGTCCCTCCATAGGTCAGGCCCAGATTTTATCAGAAAGAAAAAATTATTATATGCAGATAATTGTGACAGAGAAAATGAAATCCTCCACAGACTGTCTTTCATCAGGTCAGGCTTGGAAGGGTCTTTTTTTTTTTTTTTAAGATTTATTTATTTATTTATTTATACAAGCACTGGGTACAGTCAGAAGCACCAGAGGGTGAGTGGATTTGTAACAGGGTGGTCCCCAGGAAAGGGGGAGGTTCCCTGCCCCACCCAAGGGAGGGTGGAGCTGAGCAGGGAGAGGAGAAGCTGCAGAAGAGACTGAGGAAGGAAGCAGGATGGAGCCAGAAGGAGACCTGGAGGAGGCACATGGAGCCTAGAGACACGTGAAGAAACTGCCTTGTCTTTTGGTCGTGGACGGGGTGACACAGATGTGGGTGAGACCCGTGGGGAGGTGACAATGGCAGCTTTTATCTTGATGTTGATTTTGCCCTTTTCCTTCCGTGCTTGTCTGGTTGTTTCTGACCCTTTTCTGTGGGTCCCCACTGGAAGATGCTTTAGACTTGTGGCAGGCTTTGGGGCCTTGTTCTGGGCCGATCCCATATGGATGGACTTTTACCCACGAGGGGACGGGTGACTTTGGGTGCTTGATTTAGAAACTGGACTCTTTGCCTTTCCTGTATTGTTTGCTAGTTTTATTAAAGTTCCTTCCCATTAAAGTCTCATATGTTTTGTGTTGATGCGGCGGATGGCAGAACCCATTTAGAATAGGCAGGTTTGCGGGGTTTGGGCTGCCCCTCTCCCTGTCCTATAACAGATTCACCAGAGCCAGAGCGGGGAACAGAACAGGCAGACCGACGAAATACACTGCTGAGGGGAGCAGCGGGCGGCAGGAGAGGTCTGTCGAGCCATGTGGGACCCTCGCCGACGGCCAGGGATTGAACCGGTGCTGCAGAGGCTGCGGGCAGCTTTCGCAACCCAGCGCTCAACCGCTGCGCCACTAGGGGAGGCCCAGGCTTGGAAGGGTCTTTAAAGAGGAAAAGGGCAGAATGGAGACCAAGGAGCTCTTGGTGACTGCCTGTTGGAGGTATTGGGTGTTGCGGTCACTCTGGTACTTGATGGAGGACGAGAATAGGAAAAAAGCTGGAAAGGAGATGCCATAAGACCGGAAACCTGGCTCACACAGTGCCAAGGGCTGGAGGTGGGGAGAAGAGATTAACATAGCCATTGACCCTAGAGGCATCCAAAGGTAAAGATATGGAGATTGAGCCCATAGAAGAATCTCCGTTCCCTTTCAAATTCTACAAAGTTATCCAAAATCAGTAACCACCTGTGGCTCACAAAGATGAGCCCCCAACAGAGGAGCAGCTCCTCCTGCCTGCTTGTGTCTATGCAAGTGTCTTTTACTGTTCTATCCCTTTTCTAACAAACCTGTTAATTAAATATAAGTGCCGTCTCTGTCTTGTGGAGAAATTCACCTGGGAAACTCACTGAAAGGGGAGCTCTTTCCCAGAGTGAACCCAAGGACCCTGCCCTCTGAAAGGTCGATGCAGGGGTCAGGAATGAGGAAGCCCACATAGAAAGAACAAGATGGCCCTGACACCAGTGCCACAGATACCATCCAACTGAAACTGAAGCCTTAAACAGGAGGAAAACAACTCGGCTCCATGAAAAACAACTTTGTTCCGCCGAAACCTGTTTCCCCTGCTGCCACCCCAGTTTTCCTGCCTAACCTCTCCTCATCCTATAAAAGGACATCTCCCCCCACAACGGGCGTGACTTCAGGGACCCCCACCTTGGGTCCTCGGAGCTCGCCCCGGGGGCGCAGTAAATTTTCCCTTCCTTTTCTTTCCCATGCCAAACCTTTCACACTCCTAACCTACTGACTCCAAAAACGACATCAGTAGCATTAAATTATATATTGTTTTTGGTAGAATAGTAACTTTGACTATATTAATTCTTCCCATCCATGAACATGGAATGTCTTTCTACACCCTTATGCTATGATCTAAATCCTTTAGTAAGATCCTATAATTTTCATTATATAAATCCTTTACCTCCTTGTCTGCTCTTGATATTGTCAGTCCTGTGATTTTAGCCATTCTGTTAGGTATGTAGTGTTATTTTATTTGCATTTCTCTGATGCCATGGATGTTGATCATCTATTTATGTCCTTTAATCTGTCATTTGTATATCTTCTTTTATGATAGAGGTCTTTTGTCCTCCTCAGTTAAAAAAATGTTGTTTTGTCTTCTTAATTTTAGGGTTGTAAAATTTCTATGTATATTCTGGATTCAATTCCTTCATCAGATAGGTGCATTGTAAATACTTCGGGTTGACTTTATTGTTTATTATCTTACAAGCATGTTTGAAAGAACTGAGGGTTTAATTTTGATGGTGTTCAATTTGTCAATTTTTTTCTCTTCTGTTTCTTGTTTTATATGTTCTAAGGAATCTTTCCCTAACTCAAACTCTTTTTACTAGTTTTCTATTACTGCCATAAAAAATTACCTCAAATTTAGTACTGTAAGACAACACAACTTTGTTATCTCACTGTTCTTTAAGTTCGAAGTCTAAGTTCCTTGACTGGTTTCTTTGTCAGGGTTTCATAAGATTGGTTGCCTGGGTTCTTACTGAGAAGAGTTCACTTCAAAGCTCATTCAGGTTGTTGACAGAATCCAGTTCCTAGAGGCTGTAGGATGGAGGTCCCATCTCCTTGCTACTATCATGTAGGTCTGCCGTTGCTTCCTAGATGCCTCACTCTGATCCTCATACATGGCTCCTAGCTCTCAGGGCCAGTAAAAACATGCTAATTCTTCTCACAATTGGAATATTTAATTTTCCCTTCTGTTATAGCTGGAGAAATTTCTCTGCTTTGCAGGGGTCATTTTGGAAAATCTAGGCTATACCGCTTATTTTAAATGCTGTTATTAATTACATCTGCAAAGTCCCTTTTGCCATATAACATAACATAATTTATAGGCTCTAGAGATTAGGAAGAGGGCTTTAGTCTCAAATGTTTTCTTCCATGCTTCTCCTAGCAGCTTTATCATTTTAGCTGTTAGAATTTGGTCTATGATCAACTTAAAACTAAATTTTGTATATGGTATGAGACTAATGATTGAGATCCGAATCCCCCCTTTTCCTTATCAATTTGTTTTCTGGGAAGTCCTAGGAGTTGGGGCATATTCCCCTGTTCCCTGCCTCACCTTATACACACACCCAGCATTTAGATATATGGCCATGGAACCCATGGCTAGTGGGCCCAGGGGTGCTCTACAACCAGAACTTGAAGGAATTTAGAAGATCCATGGTTCCCTCCTTCTTGCTCCTTTAGAGGTAGGTAGGCATTTCTCTGGAGCATTTGAGAAGACATACTGAGGAGGATGTGGGGACAAAAAAATAAATCATCCTTTACCCCTCTGGGTTATTCTAGTCTGGCAAATAATCAAAAAAAGTATCAGACAGATTGATAAGAGAAAAAGCCAAAAACAAGTTGAATAATAATGAGTTTGCTTCCTGTATACGTGTTCCCAGCAGTGACTTACAGCATGACTTCAGACACCATCTTAATAGCCTAGTTAAGATAAGCGAGTTTGGGGGAAGAAAGCAAAGGGTCCTTTACAGAGTTTCCAAGGAAGCCACAGTAAACAAAGATATGCAGATTTATGTTCTGACTTCTTCATTTAAAAGCAATAGGAGATTAAATCTTCTGAGGAGGAGATACCCTTATAGAGAGAAATTTATATATAACTATCTTTTTCAAAATCAACCTGCATCCAGCCTTCAGAGCCCCTCCAATGAAATCAACCATTTGCCAAAGACATAAATGGGGGTGGGGCAGTGTCCAAAAATTTTGCTCCTCTAAAAGAGGCATCCATCTTTTTAAGACATGGTATAAGTTAGACGTTGTAGGCAGGACTGGAAATAGAGGGTCAGTTCTAGATGGTGGCACTGTAGAGGTTGTTGGGGTGGGGCACAGACAGGACAGGTAGACAGGAAAGGAATAAGCTAAAATGGCCCATCCTCAGATGGATCACAGCTCATGCTACTTAAAATAGGAATTTCTTTGTCTTGAGGCCTTGTTGCCTCAAGCAGGGTTGCTACTGAAGAGATCCATTAAGAGCTAATGTAAACTCTCCATCCTGGCTCATAGCCCAGACCTGCCTTTGGCATCAAAGGACTAAGGCAGATCAATACATGAGGGCAGGGGGAGGAGTCTTGAAATTTTAATCTATTTCTTTTCCAAGTAAAACCAAAAGTG